TGGTTGCCACCAATCCATTTGACCCAGGGTCAGTAAAAAATGTACCATGTATGCATGGTTGCCAAAAAAAAGTAAAAAATGTGACCAATGTAGTGCCATGGTTGCCACGGACCATTCTGATACAGTGTTGTACCGCCTCTTGGGACGATCAAATCTGTTTTGATCTTGATCCGAAAGACAAATTGATTTTGCACAAAACTAAACCACCTCAACTCAAGCTATCTCAAACCAGACCTCACTAGACCCCTCCTGACCAAGTGAAGGTTGGGCCTATTGGGGGTGGAATCGGTGGTTGCGTACCATAACGCTGGGCGCAACCACACCGTTGGACGCAACCATGGGCCCAGCCGTGGGTGTGTCCATAGGTCCGTGACGTGACCACCGTGGATACATCCACGGCGCAATTGGAGGCAACCATGCTGCGCTCGCGCAGCTCGATTTTTGAATTTCAGCACGCTCGTTTGACCGTTTTCGCTGCTCTGTGGAGCTTGTCTATACTTCAGCAATGATAGACACCCCTGTATGGTCTGCAGGTTCTGTGTTAACACTCTTCTCTTGCTTGGCCTGATCATTTCGCCTACTGCATTCACCTTGCACCTTGCCAGCCTCCTTGGCATGCATCGCCTGACAAAAAAACTTGTATTTATTATTTATTTATGATATAATAATGTCACCACCAGCTTACTGACCTGCCACTGTTAGCCTGAGAATTTGCTCTCAAGTATCTACGTAGTATTTATATTCAACAATGCGATATCTTCAATGTGGGAGTACAGTGTAAGAGTTGTAGTGCTACTTGCTAGCAACTGCAACGGTGTGGGTTCGAATACCACTTCTCCCTTGTGTCGGGCTTGCCATATTTTTGTCCCGTGTCCCTGGTGTTGGAGAACATATGATTTTTATTCTTATTTGTTTTAAAGGTAGCATGGTCTAATGGTTAGCTCACTGCTTAACCGGTCAGTCCTAGGTAACTGTTCCGGGTTCGATTCCCGGTACTACCAATTTGAATTGTTTCTATTTTTTTTTTTTTTCGTTTGGACGACCGAGATTTTAAAGAAAAGTGGGCAATTCATATACTGTGGCTGATATACTTTGATTTCACATTATTGGACACATCCACGCCATCATCATGGACACATCCACCAATCCCTCTGGATGCATCCAACCGCTTTAAGAAAAACGGTGGGACGCATCCACATGTTCGCCGTGGATGCATCCCAGGGCCGTGGATGTGTCCACCGCTTTTCATTCGAAGCCGTGGATGCACCCACGACTTTTTCCGGCAAACCATGGACACATCCATGGTATCATACATGGACGTGTCCACGGTGTTGTTTTTCTCGCCCTTGGGTGCACCCACCACGATTGGACACGACCATCCCTGTTTGTGGACACATCCACCACCGGAGTCTAACGGGGTGGGTGCGACCATAGCGGGCGGACGTGTCCATCGCTGTAAGCACCGTGCGTGGATACGTCCACACGCAACTCCGTGGATGCGTCCACCACCGGAGGCCAACGGCGTGGGTGCGACCAAGGCCGGTGGACGCGTCCATCGCTGTATCCACCGCGCGTGGATGCGTCCACACCTTTGTTCCGAATGTGATGGACGTATCCACAGATGCGTGGATACGTCGACCTCTCTCCCGGAGCCCTTGATGCAATAAATTCATGTTATTGCACCAATGTTTAAGGATCCTATTATATTCAATTAATGTGCACTTGTGACACTCAAAGAGCCGGCCAAACATCATCATACTACCAGATTCACCTACGAGCCTCCGCCTTATTTTATTCCATTTAATTGTTCACACCTGCAGCAAATTTCCATTTCGGGACCGTATCGGTTGTTGTCACTTATTTGGCATCACCCCCTACATTCGTCTTCCTCATTTTCAGAAGGTCTCGGATGTGGCGCAAATGAAAGGTAGGTAGTACCCAAACAATTGTCCAGTCAAGCTTAACCAAAAACTCCAGCTTCACTCAAATTCACCCACCCCGCTGTCTTGTGTTTTTTGTTCAGTCCCGGCCCAAAGTTTCCATTTCGGGACCGTAGCGGTTGTTGTGTCTTGTTTGGCACCACCCTCGCACTACTGCAAACTCCTGCTAGTAAGTATTAACCTAGTAAGTATGAGCCTTTGTACATTGAATGTGTTGATTCCATCATAGTGCGGCATCCTCGCACTCGCGTAGTTAGAGGTAAAGGGAGAGTCAAGCGTTCGGGGTGACCGGACCGGTCACGTGACCACCACACGTGTCCCAAAAAAAACTAATTAACAAGTCTGTCGCGTCGCGTCGCCGTTTTCGACGCGTACCGGAGCAACAACATGAGAGACCCAAACCATACTCTCTGCAGCAGTGCAGTAGCATCGCTCATACCACTACTCTCCTCACTGTCGTCTACCCGTTCCCTAGGTGCGTTCGTTCTCGGTCATTTCTCGACCGTTTTCCTTCATTCTTGTTCTGTCAGATGCCGCAAGCAACCCCCGACTTCATCAGCACCATCTCCAACGCTGAACGCTCCAAGATTTTGGCCCAATGGTGAGTTATTTCTCGTCATCTCGACTTACTGCCAACGCATGCTAGTCGCGCTCTCTCACCCCACGACGCCGCCGAGGCACTTTTAAACCTCCAGCCCTACCTGGACTTCCCCGGCAAGGTGTACGTCCACCTCAAAACAGACGATTCGACCCTCGCCGTCATCGCGACGCTTCCTGCCAACGCCGACGTCGACTATCTCAGCGCCAAGGTCGGGCGTTCGATCGACATCGACCGTCGGAGGAACGAGTATGCGCGCCAGTGCAAAGGGGAGGAGCTCTGCTGGGCGTATTATTATGAAACTGCGAAATGTAAGCTCCTAGGTCAGTTTTCCTATCGTAACGCAATTCGTTCGGACTCACCAAGTTCAGAGCGCCTTACCCACCTCACTTTGGAGGGCCGGGGTGCGATGCGCATCCCCGCTCCGTGCGGCGGTTGCGAAGTGAGGCACCGGGAATACGCTGCGGAAATGGCGGTGGGGGGTTTGGACGGTGTTGCGGACGTCCTGGAGTATTGGATCCGGCGGATAGGTGAGATCCCCATTCGCCACCCCTTGTATAACTAGTTAGCTTTCAGCTTATCCATACGTCTCCGTTTCCTCTCAATAAGTAGGGTAGTTTCTCATATAATCAAAAAAATACAAAATACAGGCGCCACCAGGCAGTATCTAAATGCTTGACGAGTGAGTAGCTAACGCAGAGCGAGATTTACCCGATAGACCTCGCAAACTACTTGTAAATCGTCTGGGATCTTGGGCTCGATACCGTCTGGCAAGGGAGTCCAATCCCCGGTTATGCTGGAGTACCTCCAATTGTGCTGTGGATGTATCCACGGGGGTCACGTCACGGACCCATGGACACACCCATGGCTGGGCCCATGGTTGCGTCCAACGGTGTGGTTGCGCCCAGCGCTATGGTACGCAACCACCGATTCCACCCCCAATAGGCCCAACCTTCACTTGGTCAGGAGGGGCCTAGTGAGGTCTAGTTTTATATAGCCTGAAGTGACCACCTAAAGTCATCTTTTATATCCAATTTATCCTCCCACCAAGTTTGGAGGTAATCCGCTACAAAATGGTGGAGATCAAAGCTAATCAGCTACAAGTTTCCTTATCAGTGCAATATGGCCACTTGGGACGCACAGCCACTGTGTCTCCCTTTCAAGCCATTTACTCCCAACTTGTATTTAGTCATACCTGGAAAAATAGTTTAAAATGTACTGGAACCCACAAGAATGTTTGGCTTGTCCAAAGAGAAACAAGATGAACGTGAAATGAGCACCAGAGTTTGGTGTGTCACACCTGTCACACGTCCCATCTGAGTGCGATTTTGCAGGATTTGAAGGACGGAGCCAAGGACCATCAAAGTAAAGAATGGGACTTGCTTGTATTCATATACCTATATCATATTCTGGAGGGTGTAATTTTCTGCTCGGTGATTGGTAAGATATGCAATTTTTAAATTTCATGTTTCTGGTTTTTTTGGATTGATGTCTGGCTAGGGAACCATCCAGAGATACAGGGTGTGCCAAACTTTACTCAAGCATGGTGTACATGTCCATAATGATATACTGAAAATTTCAGAGCAATAGGATTCATGGCTGTGGAGAAAAATGCAATCGTCCCAAGTGGTGATACCGTCCCAAGAGGTGGTACAACACTGTATGTGTCTCCACAGTTGCCATAGAATGACTTGATTACACATTCTGTTTCCACAGTTGCCACTCATGGACTTGTACAATTTTCGGCCAACTATCATATTGTGGCAACTGTGGCTAGCTAAGATATACGAATTTCATTTTGGTACTGGATATGTATTTCATCAAAAAAAACGGCGCGGAACAAGTAAATGCAGCACAAAGAGACCTCGGGGCAAAACGCAACGAGCCAGGAACGTACGAGGGAAGAGAGGGAAGGAGGACGTGGAGGGAGGAGAGGGAAGGGGGATGTGGGCGCGCAGTGGCGGGCTTACTCAGACCCACTGTCATAGCTCTCGTCGTCCTCTTCCGCGATCTGCTTGGCTGTCTTCGCCTTCTTCACCGGCTTTGGCCCTCCCTTCGAAGAACCCGCCTTCTTCGAAGAACCCGCCTTCTTCGCCTTCTCTGCCTTGAGTTCGTCCACCATCGCCTGCAACTTCCGCGATGACTCCTCAGCCTTCTTGTACATCTCAGCCTTCTTGGCGCGCCTCTGGACCTCCCTGGGTGACAGGATCTCGGGTTCCTCGGGCGGCGGCGGCGGTGGCGTCGAATTGCCATCGTTGCCATGGGACTCTGCGTTGGCATCGTCTTCGCTGTCGTCGACGAACTCCTTGCTCTTGTGGACGCGGGAGTGGGCGAAGGCGGGTTTGGGCTTCGGCTCGGACGACTTCTTCTTCTTCTTGCGCGGCGGCTCCTCCTCCACCCCCTCGTCCTGCACCTTCCTCTTCTTCTCCTTGGCCTTGTCTTTTCCCTTGCCCTTCTCCTCGCCCTCGCCCTTCTTCGCCTTCGCCTTGTCCTCTGTCCGCTTCCCTGATTTCTTGACCGCTTCCCCCTTCTCCCCCTTGGCGACCTCCTTCCCCTTCCCCTTCGCCTTGTCACCTCTCGGCTTCTTCTTCACCCCAGCATCGTCATCCCCCGTGTCATCCTCAGCCCGCTTGCGCTTGCTCGGCTTGGGGGCGGGGGCGGGCTGGGGGACATCGTTCTCGTCCTCCTCCTCCTCCTCTGTGTCGTCCGACTCGTCCGACTCCGGCTCTCGCTTCGAAGACTTCGTCCCGCGTTTGGCCTTGGTGCGTTTGCTCCCATCGGCGTACTTGGCCTTGATCTTGGCCCGTCGTTCCTCGTCCACCCGTTCCCAACGGCAGGTCCCGTGGGTGAGTCGGTCCCACAGCATGACAATGGTGCCAGAGCCGCCGGTACCCATCTTCGAGGGCGCCTTGAACTCGGCTCCCTCTGGCCAACCCACTAGTTCCCAACCGATGTCCCCCATGACCCTCCGTTCGTAGTCGACGTAGTTCATCTTGATGAGCTCGTTGCCAGTTTTCTCGCCTGCATCGTGGTCAGTGACTGAAATAAACAAAGGCTGCCCCACTCACGGAGCTGGTTCAGGATCAGCTGCGTCACCTCAGAGCGGCGGCGTGTGGGGTCCTTCGGCATCTGGTTGGGCTTCAACTCTGGGCCTGCGGTTGCCCAGGTACGATACCCCATTGTGAAGGCGAGGGGGTCAATCTTGTACTTGTCTTGAAAGAACTGCAGGCTGGCGTCGGAGCCCACAATTGTTGTCGTGATGGTGTCGTTGTCGTGGGATCCCGTCAGAACTGCGAACCCACGAGCTCCCGTTCGTTTCTCGCAAAGAATAAGCTAAAGAAACAAGTTGTTAGCGATACATTGGCCATCGTTGCCACGCCAGCGCTCGTTGCCATCCAATCTTTGAGACTCACCTCGTCATTGATTTGATTCCCCAACAGTGCCACATCTTTGGCAGCTGCCG